TTGACCTGTGATAATGAAACCATTTTGTAATATTTTAACAGATATTAGAGTAAGTGGGGTTTGAAATGTAGAAAGAACATATTACATTTAAGTTAAGCTAAAACATAGTAATGTAATGAGACAGAATTTAATTTAGACAACATCCTGTCTCTAGCCTGGTAAATAATTAGAAGTAAAAGCCATAGACTTTATTGTTTAGGTCATTATGGGGATAGAAATGAACACGATACCAGTTTCACAAGGACAATTTAACTTCATAATAGAAAGACATTTGATGACAGTATGTTGGAATTCTGTATTCATTTTTTCAGCTTGATAATATCTAAGCACTGACAGGTAGAAGCAGTATTGCCAGGAAATCATTCACTTTGACAATATCATGATTTTAGTTGTTTTTAATCTACAACATGAATGTGTTTCTTTACCAGAAACATTAGCAGTGCATATTATATTTATATTTTAAATAGGATTTCAAGGATTTGATTTAAGAATAACACAGATGCTTGTCAGAAATTCAGAGCTATTGAAATATGTTATTTAGTTCACCTAAAGATGTTGGAGTTTTATGTTGTTGACACAGTCCAAGAATTAACATTCTGAAGCTGCACTGGCAAATAAGGGGTCTACAATTAATTTAGAAAACATTAACATTAGAAATAATAAGCACACCATTTATAATGTACAGAGACAAGAAAACACATACATGTGGTTTAAACATAAAATAAATCTCACGTACCCCCTGCAGTACTCCAACGTACCCCTATGGGTCCGCGTACCCCATTTGAGAACCACTGACATAAGTAACTATCTGGGGAAGTTGTGAGGTGATGTTTTTTTGTTTGTTTTTACCTTTTCACCTGCAATGCCTTGGTAACTGTATGCAAATTAGCGCATTTTAATTAGGCCTAGTTAACGCCTAATTTGCATATCAATGTGGCGATTGTGATGAAGTTATTAGATACACATTTTACTGTATTCACTTTATGTGTCTCCCCTTAAGTACAGTACATTAGCCTGCATGCCCATGATAAATTGTCTTAGCTAAACCTTGAGCTAACCCAGTGGTTCTCAAACCTTTTCTGTCAGGCCCCCCCTTTGGAGAAAAAAACAAGTCGGGGCCCCCCCAACACTATAGTCAGGCTCAGTGGCGGCGCCAGATATTTATTTTGTGGTGCTGTGGGGTAGCTTGACGTTTCATAGAGGGTGCTCAAACATTTATGGTTTCCCATTAATGTACCGGGCGCTACAGTGGCATTTTCTACTGCAACACTCCCCACACATACACACAGTGTACCCGCGACTGTAACAATGAAGGCTCGATATCAGCTCACGGCATATAGGTGTAAGCAGGAGTAAAGTGCTATTTTATAGGTGGTGTGTGGACCTCACATAGGGGGGTCCGGGGGCAAGCTCCCCCAGGAAGATTTATTTTTAAATATGGAAGTTAAAAGCATCAATTTGGTGCACTTTGAGAGCAACATTAAGAGATCTATGGATACATCTCTCAGCACCCATTTGAAACAGAACTGTAAACAGATTTACTTTTTCTTTATGGATATTTTACAAATCACCCTTTTAAACTTTTTTTTTTTTTTACAGTTATATAGTATTTCATACCTGTTTTTCATTTATTCTCTTATTTTTTTATAACTATAATGATCATATAAACGTGTGCCTCGGAAATAATTGTTTACATTAATGGTGACCAAACCGAGACCCACTGAGATAACTTAGACTAAAGTTAACTATCTAAACACTGAGAGAGTCCTTTAGCTCACTGAGCCTCTCAGTCTGACAGGAGAGGACTCTCTTCCACTTTGTTGTTGAAAAAACTCCTTATATCTGTTAGCGTAGCTCGCTAGCACCAGAAGCTAACAACTACGATCTCCGGTACCAGTGCGCTCTCTCTCTCTCTCTCTCTCGCGCATGCACACAAAATGGCTCGTTCCACACACACACAGAGCCGAGCTTTAATGAAACACAGAGACCCAGACGTAATAGTACTGTATCATATTATTTTCGAATCAATAATTTTTCAAATTATGATTATTTTTGTTGTAATCTTTTTTTTTTTTTCAATAACCATTTTCCCTCCTGGTCTCTCGCGCCCCCCTGTCATGCTTCTGCGCCCCCCACTTTGGGAACCACTGAGCTAACCTATCCATTAGCTAGCCTACCTTAGTTAACTATATGTGTTATTGTCTTTTAGCTGATTAGCTGTAAACTCGAGGCACTGGCAGTATAGTAATTTGTTCATCACCACTCACCTTCAAAAGAGAGAGCATCGGAAGTTCACAGTCCAATCTCCCGACCTGATATTTTAATTTTGTATTCAATCAATATATTGTTGGAAAGGGAAACTGTGCGCAAACAGCAGTAGATATATATTCATTAAAAAAATGGGCACTTTCTCTGGAGGAAGAAAAAGGGCAGGGGCTCAAGCCCACTTTGATGTCTATGTGTGCACGTGCCTGATCGGTATGGAAGTGACCATGTCGGCAGGCCACATGATGTAGACAGACAGTCAACCTGTGTGAGGCAAACCCACATTTGCGCAGCGTTGCGTTCACAATACATTAAAACAAAACAAAAACCGCCAGACCAGCAGGCCAGGCCACTTAACAGGCCAGGCCTGGATCATTATATAATATTGATAGGGAAAAAGGGATGTTGTTGCTAATTTATTAAAGGTTAATCTTACCCTATCTCTTATCTTATTGCCTTCTTTTTTTAGTTTTACATTAAGTTACAAATTAATCAATATTTTTGCGCTAACTAATTCATAGTGAAAACCTTTAGGAATACATTTTTCAAATGTTAACCCTTTTGAAGCCTATTATTCATAATGCATGATAAAACCTGAAAACTTCTTTAAAGGTACAAGTTTTTACACTCCACTATATTGGAATATTGTATACTTTGTACTATACTGCGATCCACTTAAAATGGATTATTCCATAAAATAAATTCAATTTTTTATACAATTAAGTTTGTTGGATTTGAAATGAGATCTCAGTAGTAGCCTACAGCAGTGCTTCGAAATGGGAATATGTAAATCCTTTGTTTCTGTTTCTTTTCCAGAGCTCTTTTCTTGTAGTAACATATTGTAGCCACAAGAGAGTGATCACATCACGTTGCAGAACTCCAAGAAAACAAGCTCGTCTTCTGATTCCATGACACACACACACACACACGACACACAATCCATTCACTTTGTGTAGCATGCAACTATTTGAATTCAATAAAAGGGAGGATGGAAGTGATGTTTGGGATAAGCCATGTGTACAGCTTCTTTGTGTTTTAATCAAAAACACACATGTGCTGACTAGCAGGGGAGCATTCCCCAAAACAATAAAGCTTTGCAGTAAATGAGAGCTGACAAGAGAACGTTACCTCTACTTCTGTCTCCATGGAAACTTGCCTCACTGGTCATTCCGTGGATATGGATGCTATAGACCAGGGGGAGCAGCGCTCTGTGTGCATCCATCCACACAGCACTTCCTGCTCCAAGATTGAATGTCACACAATTTAAATGTATTTCACTGAAGGGAAATTAAAGGTCTCTCTCGCACTGATGACAATATGCTTTTGGATTCACTTGTAAAATACATCTTTGGGGAAAAGAGTGTTTTTCTCAAACTGTGACATGTGATCAGACATAAAGCAGCTTTATGTCGCCATACCTTTCTTTGAGTCTCACTCTTGGTAACTGAGTGGTGTGATGCCCTCTAAAGATCTACAGAATGCACACTTTTCTCCCCCCTCTTTCTTTGCAGTAGTTGCATAGCAACAGAGGAGCTGCTAGCTCCAGTTGTGTTGGTGGTGGGAGCGCACTGCACAGGGAGGCACTGGCTCCAGATTAAGCCTGTCTCGGCTTCAATTATGAATGGGCTTCCACTGCCACACAGCCCATAAAATGGCACCACTCAGGCTGATAAGACATTGAGGAACTCTTTGCTACACTTCACTCTTTTACACCTTTCCCTTAAGGGGGGGGGGGGGGAGTGGAGTTTGACTTTAATCAGAAGTATTGAACTGCAATGATTGGAGGAAGTAAATGAATAATTAACTGGCAGAAGAGGCATGGTTATGATAAGACCCTTGTTGATGGGAATATGTGAGGTTAATGATTGGGGTCAGTCTTGAGAGCAAATTAAAGAGTCTCCAGTCTCACAAAGCCAGTAAATGGGGGTTATTGTGTGTTGCATGTTGGAGTGGTGAAAGGGAGGGAGGGGGTTAGAAAGAGTGATATGCTCTCTTGTAATCCTTGACTATATTTAACTCTGAACTTTGAGAGGAAAACGGTTAAATTGCTGCTTGTTTGCCCACATGAAGTGCCCACCAGTGCTGCAGTGATTAAAGAAAACTACACACATGAAATGAACGTTTGCACATCAATAACTCACCTTGAATTATTGAAGGAAACTTTATTCTTCTCGCATGCTTCCTTAAGAAAAAAAACAAATCAAAATTTGTGATGAATTAAAAATAAATGAGGGACACTTTTAACAACAGAAAAACGATATGAATACTACCTTATAGATTCTCACACAACTCGTGCAGTATACATCTGGATTATTCAGCCATACGCTCCTAACATATGCAATCCCAATAAACCCTTACAATAAAAAACGTTCTAATGATAGAGTCTCAAGCTTAGAAAGGCGCACTACATGTCCATGCAATCAGATTCAGAAACAGCTTTATGGCCAAGTAGGTTTACACATACAAGGAACATCCCTTGGTGTATATGGCCCATACATAAACACAGCTAAAACCTTAATAAGATGTTAATGAAAATGCTCGTTTGTTATTTCATTCTTCGTTCATAGCGAAGGTTTGCGAGAAAACGTTTTTTATGTTTTTAAGGTAAGTCATTCATATGGTCATTTTGTTGGTAAAGTATTCCTTTAAATGCGTCACAGTAGTCGACATGGGTTTTATTTATCTATGATTATGGTTTAATCTGTGTCTTTTTTAAATGAATAGCCAAACTAATCTTCTGCAACTTGTATTTTTTATTATTGCAACCAACTGGAAGACAATACATCACATAAACATCATTGCAGTTTTTCAGAAAATGGAAAACAAAATAAAACAACATTTATATATTTTTTGCCACGGTATTGGACAACGTTGATATTTACATGTAGTGATGAAATAGGTCTTGAAATCATTCTTTGGCAATATGATTGCACAATAAGGAGAGAATTGAACATTAACTGAACAAAAAACAAAAAAAAACAACTACACCCGGGAGCACTCTGCATCACATCTCACAGATCAATAACAGTTTTGCATTTTGACATCTCTAACCTATGGCTTTCCAATACTCAGACAGTCACTAAAAAAAAAAAATGGCAGTATTGTAGATAATTTTGTCAGAGAGAAAAACAAAACAGAACATGAAAACGCGCATAACAAAAAAAAAAAAATGGCAACTGTATATTTTAAGAGTTTCATTTGTATGTTTGGCAGGTTTGAAACTAACACTTGTTTTAACGGGCTTTTTAGGCAGTGAAGTATATTTCCTTTGCTTTAATAGTATATTTGTGTGTTTTTGCAGGACTCAAAGGTCAGGAGTTCATCCCTCCTGCATGTCACCGAGTGAGTCAGAGGGAAAAAGGTGGATTTTGTTCCCCCTCGACATGCCTCTTGCCAGCTGAACACGTTATTAGTCACCACAACAGTGGATTGTTGCCACAAATACAGCAGAGTGCTTGACCTGGGCTGCGGGAGCACTCTGACAGATATCAGACGAGAGACGGATGGCACACAACAAGACAGTGTCTCCTTTTAGCCTTTTTTTAAATATGTCGGCATGGATACCATACAAATGCGAAGCCAGTGATGCATGCTACAGGTGGCAAAAGACTGTACCGGAGGATGGGACATGCATTTGTTTGCCTGCTTGGCTCGCTGACTATCAATCGACAAAGAAAACAAAATAAAACTTGTGACTGCTGCTACAACCAAAAACCAGCCTGATTTTATCCTGAAAAGCTGCAAGTGGAGGGGATTCAATACTTTATGCATTACTGTTTACGGAATAATAGAGTGGTGCAGGAATGAGTCCTTAAACCCAGGATTGAGTTAGCAAAAACGTCTTTTTGGACGCCTAAAATAAGATCTGTGGTGAACACAAGCTTAAGAGATGTTCAGGTTGTGTTTTACGACATAAAATAAGTCAGAAAAAACTCTACTGGTATCGTAAAAATTGCGATTTCTTTAAAACAAAAAACTACAAATCGTCATCAGGTCGAACGTTAGCCGCCGTTAGCTTAGCGGTAGTGAAGTAAAGTCATGCGAGCGTGATGTAGTTTTCTTTATAGCATAATGTTGGCATTTTACTTAATTGACGCTCTAAAAATCATCAAAGGGGTGTTAATTTGTAGAGATAATACTGCTCAACAAAAATTATACATTTCATGTGTGTTTGCCACAGATCTTATTTTCTGCAATATTCCACAATCCAATGGAAAAATCCTATTGTTTTTTGTCGAGGGAGCCCTTGCTATGCTAACTTCCCGGTCGGCCTACAGAAATACGTCATCACCGCACCACTCTATGGCAGTGTGGTATTTATATCACTTCTGATGCAAAAATGTCAAAGCCCCCAACTGACCCTTGTGGATTTCCATGATATTGTCTTGTAGATTGGCAAAATATATTTAAATAAACACCTCCAGACAGAGCTCTTGAGATAAATATGTATACAAGCTTGACATCCACAAGTGATTCCTTTAATCAAAGGGTACAATACTGTTTGTAAATTAAAAAAACGATGCCATCTCCTACATTCCTCTTTCTTTTCAACACCTACGTTTGGAGATATGAGGTTCTTTCAAAGTTTCCCATGCCCGTCCGATCCAAACATTTACACTGACTATGCCGATGGGAAAATAAGGACACATGTACATTTACACACAGGAGAGAAAAAGTAAACAATACTGTTATAAATAAAGACGTGAAACGTTCTGACATGTCGGGGGGGACATGACGACAGAGGTACTGAGGGCAGGCAGGCAGGCAGGCACAATGTTAAAGGGTGTGTGTTCCTGGGCACACAAACAAACTCACACACTCTACAGATGTGTTCTGAAATAACACTGGGGTTAACATTGAACACCTAAAAATCACTGTACAGGCAGAAGAAGACGGAAGCCCACCCTAAGAGGTGATCCAGCTGGCCTACAGAGCCTGAACCCGAAGCCCGAGAGGTGCAGAGTGATCCCCCCCGCTCCTCCCTGAAGACGTGTCTTTGAAAGCCCGCTCAGAGGAAAAATAGAACCCAAAAAGATTCAAACTAAACAAAAAAACAAACAAAATTAATCCATTATAATCACGGGTATAAGAATTGGCGGCAAAACTTTTTTTCTTTCCTCTAGGATCAAGGTTTATATGAAAATAAGTCATGCTTCATGCTAAATACATTGTTTATCTTACATGATTTTTGAATAAAAAAGATTTGCTTTTTATCTTATTTACAAGCACCCATGCAATATAACTGAGAAAGTCCTGCAGGTCAAATTGCTTCAATTAAGAAAGGAAAAAAATAAAATATTTTCTAACCTTTTTACAGAGTTGCCCGCGTGGGACAAATTGCTTATATCTTTATGAGGGAAGAGTGAGGGTAAACAGACACAAACAGAAATCTAAAAACCCACAGTTCATGTATATAGTTTCTTTGACATTGTCAAATGAATAGGAAGGTGGTTGTAGCTAACTGGTAGCTACCATATCTATACCAAGTGTCTACGTCTATGGACAGAAGTACTGGGGAAGATTCAGGGACGTTTTACATTATGCAACAACAACAACAAAATGAAGGAGATATTGCCTCAGACCCGGCACACTATCCATCTCTATGGTGATAAACATGACCATTTTTTTTTCATTTTAAAATATCTATTCTTAAATACTATGAGTGCTCTTGAAATAAACCCCATGATGCTTCTATTATAAGTGGTGTTAAATAATCTTAAGTGCATGAATATATATCACATTGGGTTTTACAATTATTTTTGACGCTTGAGGTCGTCCTCCCTTAGCTCTTCTTTACCGCTATGCCTTCTTTATATTTTTTCATTTTTTGTCAGCTGTCGTAATCGGCTACATGAAGCAACCTGGTCGCTTTATCTTTGGCACAGTCTCACATTTGTGCTCGTGGATGTCGGAGAAGTGATGCGAGCGAGCGTCCCGGGGAAGAGCGCCAAGTCTCGTTTTTGAAAAAGGCTCCGCCGCCGTCGTCTTTTTTTGCTGGCATCACTGCGAAATTGCTACAGATTCACATAGAAACAAACAGGTAAGACAAACAGCCATCCTTTGTGTTCGTGCACTGCGCGCTCCTCAATGTGATTTGGTTTTGTCGCGTCGTCCAAATTAGTGACAAAACATGCGTTGTTGTGTTTTTTTGTATGGCTTTCATCCCCTTTTTAAACAACGAAAACAACAGAGACACATGAGAAATACCCATCGATGTTAGTGTTGCTGAACATGTAGGAAAACATAGATTTTTGATATTGCCACAAATAAGTAGGATTCACCTAATGCCCTGCAGATAGATAGAGGGAGATGAGACGTGTCCGTAGAGACTAATGCTGTAGTTACCTGTTGACCTATTTGTGTATGTGTGTTCATGTGTGTGTGTGTAGCGTCCATTTTGCATGACTACGTGTGTGTTAGTTTCTCAGGGCCTCTTTCTGCTCCTTCTGGCCCTTGGCGGTGCGGTTTGTGATGTTGTTGAGGCAGGCTCGGACCCCCGCCAGGTGGAGCAGAGACCCTGCCGCCTCCTTCATCTCCTCGTCGTCGCTCTCCGGCGGCTTCTCCACCGCCGCCGCGCGCCGCTTCTTCAGGGGCAGCGTGTCGCTAATGCCCCTCGCTCGGTTTTTGGTCCACAAACTGCTCCCTGCCAGAGTCCCAGCGCCCGGCCCCGAGCTACGTCTCTGTCCGCGTAGGGACTGCTGGGAAATGTAGTTAGCAGCGGCGGCGGCGGAGGTGATGTGAGAATCTAGCGGGATCTCCCGGGGCTCGGGTTTGACGTCCGATTGGATCTCCACTGCGATGATGTCGTCTTCGTCGTCGTCCATCTCGGAGGAAGGGGAGCAAAGCCTGCTGGGGGATTTGGCGGTGCTGTAAGTGTGGTCGTCCTGGAGGTCCTCACTGCAGAGCGGCGGGGAGTAGCGGGACGGGCTGTCCTGTCCTCGGCTTAGATAATCTCCCAGGGATGATCTGTATGAGGCAAGGACAGGAGAAAGTGTTACTGCCAGCCAGGTGGCCCGCTGCACCCCCCCACTCCACCGAGGCTCTGCATTTGGCTGTAAAGCAAAAATAATCCATGTGATAATCTATCAAACTCAAATAGCCCCCTAGGGCCTAATGTGCATATTTTTCAGGTCAGATTCAAACCTACGAAAAAAAGAGTCAGCCTTCCCTTTTTTTTCTTTTTGGTGAAATGACTCATTCTCAGATTGCCACCTATGCATTTTCCTCATGACACTGTGCATTTTGAGCATGCTCCCTGAGGTGCTGAAACATGCTGAGCACATAAAGAAGCTTTTGAAGTGAGGATGATGATTCTGCAGCCGTTTAACCGCTATGCGCTTTGCATCAGCCGCCGCATTACAGTGCAACACATGTTGTTGCTCCTGTAGTCAGGAGACACTTTTCTCTGTACGGAGTTAAAGGACAGGGGTGTTCTCTGACAAGCGATACATCTAAAAGGAGCTTCTGCAGCCTGCCCTGTACCCCTGGACATTTCCCCCCACCCTCAGAATAAGAGTTAGCATATTAATATCTTATAAGAAAAACAAGCACCCCTTACAGTGATCAAATATTCACTGCATACCTTTAGTGAGACTTTGGCTATGTTTAATTCATTGTGCGGTGCAGGCCATCACACTTTTGTGCTGCTATGATGGATGTGCATGTCCAAGCATGCTCCGAATGTTCTTTAAATCATGAGTCCTCTCCCTCTAATAAACCTGTTTGTGTGTGTTTTTGTGTGAGACCGTTATATAAACACACCCTGATGAATTGTCTGGACCAGCCAGGAGCGTGTGAATGCCTCTGACTTTTGGACATAATAAAGATGTAATTATGTAAACTATCCGTGGAAAGTTTTTGGTGCGAGGTCTGTTTTGTGTACGCGTGCATATTTGTGTTTATTTGAGAGCTACTGTGTGTGAGCTTGTGGGTGTGCATGTATTTGACGCAACACTTTAAAGGGGCCCTATTATACTTTTCTCCTGTAGTGTGTTATATAGGTTTGTGTAGTTGTAAATGGTCTGCAAAGGCTAAAATCCTAAAGTTCCCTCTAGAGGGAGTTTCTGAATGTATGTAAGTCGCTTTGGATAAAAGCGTCTAACAAATGACATGTAATGTAATGTAATAATGACATCACTACGTAACACCTGTGCTTCTAATGGTTAGCACTCGAAAGCAATTTAAGGCTGCAGCCACACGAGGACAAAAACGGCCGTTTGCGTTACTGTTTAGTGTCATATAGACCATTCAGCCACACGAGGACGACCGCATACGGCACTAAACGACTGAGGAAACGATAACGGGTCCCAAGGTGGATAGAACGGCATACGCAACGCTCTGGGGGGTCAAACAGCTCCGTGTGTGCGCCCTATACGATCATTTTCTGATAATGATTGCGCAATAGCCCCGCCTCTCCCCACCTCTGCTGCTCACCTCCGCGTACCCCGCGCCATTGCTGATGTGTTTCGCCACCAACAACAACAACAATGGCGGATCGCAGAGTTGCTATCGTGCTCCGGACGCTACTGACCATGCTACAGTTCTTTGTGCAACATCTACAGCAGACTTACACATCCGGGGGGATCTTACTCCTGCTTTTGTGGATATGTACTGCAGCTTCAGCGATCATTTTCTGATAATGATTGCGCAATAGCCCCGCCTCTCCCCACCTCTGCTGCTCACCCCCGCGTCAAAGTAAACTGCACACTGAATTCAGATTATTTATCTTTCTCTCGATATGGACATAAACGCGAGTGAAGTCTAATCTGACAGGACGGAGACACCTCTCAAACTACCTAGTTATAAATATGTTTATTTTTACTGTCGGCCGGGTCACTCATTACTGGATCAACTGCTGCATGAAACAGACACTGGCGCTGTCCGAAGAGAGGGAGGAAAAAGAGAGGCTCCGTGTATTTTATTATTATATTATATAGAGTCGTTATTCATTTGTTTTAAAGCTCAATAAATAACAAAGAAGACCTTTGACCGGCACTTTTATAATTGTGTCGGAAGATTTAAACTTTAATACACGTTGACTGGCAAAAAACTCTGGGGGACCCTGATGTAAACAAGACGAAAGTCTTTCTCTGGTCTGCATCCCCTTAACAATTGTATGTTTTGAGCTGTACTGTACTGTACCCAATATACAAGCTGTTAATAAACTTTTCAATCAATCAATCAATCAATGCCCGGTTCCCTCGGCCCCCACCGCGGAGAATAAACAGAAGGGAAACCATGACAACCATGCTTCTTCGCTGCTATTTTGGAGGATGTTACAGCGCCACGTACAGGCTCCTGCATATGTACTGCAGCTTCTCCAGCGGTTGGAGCTAAACGGAGCGGTCTCGTGTGGGCAGACACTAGGCTTGTTTGAGACGCGTTGCGGCTCGCCTCGAAAGTAGACGAGAATAGCCGATCGCAGCCGTGGGAGGTCTCAAAAAGCTCGCCTGAAGTCGGACAGCTCGGAGTCGGCTTCGTCTTCTTCTCTCGGTTTTTTGGCGGATTGCAAACAGCTTGAAGGTGCATACCGCCACCTCCGGAGTCGGCTTGACTCGGTTTGCATTTATAAAGAATGCACACATGTGTTTAATCGTTAATGTCAGATAAGCACTAAGTAAATAGCCTACATTTGTTCCTGCTCAAGATTAGATTCAACTTTATTGTTATTGCACATATTACAGGTGAGACAACGAAATGCACTTTAGCTTCTAACCAGGTGCAACAAGCAGTAAAGTGAAAAGTAATGTACACAATCTACAGAATAACATATAGAATTAATTGAATGATGAATAAACAGTGAGGGCTATGAATACACTAGATACACACAGCAGCCTGTGAGCAGTATGAACAGTGTGTATGAATATGCTAAGATATATAAAGTATGAAAACGGTATGCAGTGCAAGTATAGTCTAAAATATATAGATATTAATTTCATGATGATAAACATTGTGGAACAATGATGAAAAATAGGAATGGATGTGGCGACGTAAAACTGACACAAAACAACAACAAACTTTTGCCGAGCCAATTGGAAAGTTTCATCACCAGCACGTGGTAAAAACCACCAATGAGCGCTCAGCTCGAGATACCAGCGAGTCGTTTCCCATCAAGCATTTCGCTTCCGCAGCCCGTGGAGAGGAAATGCGCCGCCTCGCCGCGCCTCGCTCTCAAGGCTGCGGGCGTCTTTGTCCCGCGAGATTTCAACGTCTCATGTAGACGGGCCTCCAGAGCAAGTCGGACAAAATGACTAACCATCATGCAACGCACTAGCAAGACGTTGATCGCAACTGCGCAGGTCTGCGCAGGTCTCGCTTGTCTCAAACAAGCCTACTATCCAGATAACTATTGCGTGTGGACGGAAGCTTGTTTGCGATTGCGTTTGCGTTAATCCTATGCGTTTAGCCGTTTTCGTCCTCGTGTGGCCGGGGTCTAAGTGGTAGGCTAAGGGGCGGGACAGCTCTAAGCATTTGACAAATCACAACACAGCCGGCTAGCTAACCAATCAGAGCAGACTGGGCTCTGGTTTCAGACAGAGGGTGAAAGTAGGGAGCAGTATGTTTAATCAAGTAGAGGATCCGAGTACTTTTTCCACCTCTGATAATACAGTAAACAGGAGAAAAGTAAACCCACCTTATGGCTGAGGTTCTGCTCCCCACAGGGCTTACAGGTAGGGGTCTTATCACAGGGAAGAATGCCTGGCTACGGATACGGGCGCCATTTTGGATCACACCACGGGGAACTAAAAGAGAGAGAAAAAAGCACTTGTTAGAAGTTATACACACAGATAAAACCACAAATCACATGCAACACAAACATCAGTTTCAAAGTAGGAAGGAAAGATTCTTCAAGACCCGATCGGACCAAGACTCCGGGAGCAGCTCAATGAGGCTGTCTGAGGAGGCCAACAGGGCAATATTGATGAGCAAGGCAAGGTTAAATTGAGCGGGAAAGCGTCATAAATGAGTTAAGGCCGCTGCGAATCATTCAATTACCAACGACCGCTGGGCTCGGCTGAATCCGGCCTGTCTGAGGCTGTGGACTGAGCAGCAGGCAGCGAGAAGTTAAAGGGCAATACCGCACCTTTGAAAATGTGCAAGAAATTACACATTTGTCTTTGAAACTTGGATAAAACTCATACAATTAAAAATTTTTAGTGAGCCACATACAATACTCCAAATTCAAAATGTATACCTTTATTAGTCGTATTTGAGTAAGATTCTTTCCACTGTTTATTATTTTCTCAATTTCAATACGATGCGATTTGAATAGGTAAAAAACACAACATTATAATCAATGAGGACAATATGTTTAAGAATTGTTAACCTAAATTAAACCTGAGATTAAGATTGTCAGAACAAAGTAAAGTCTAAGGAGCCCAAAATCATCAATCAAAACCCCAAAAATGTTTAGTTGAATAACATTGAGAGGCCAGAGAAATGGGGGCATTTTTCCTGAAAGAAAATGACTGAAACGGGTAATCAATTATTACAATTCTTGCCGGCTATTAATTTCCGGTCAAATAATTGCTTTAGCCCTAATTAGGTACACCATTTCCCTTTACCTCTATCAATGACACTACTGACTTGAAGGTGAACAAGATATGAATTAGAAATGCATCTGTATAAATCAGTCCGACAGCTTACTAAGAATGACAGAAAAAAGTAAAAGTAATGCCCGGACTGCTTCGTTGAGACATAGATTTGTGACAGAAACATTTCCCAGGAGCACAGTGGGCTCCATCATTAAGACATTTCCAGAAATTGTCCATCTGGTCAACACTTACCAGGCAGAAAGGGCCTTGGTCAGGGAGCAAAAAGGAGAATAAATGGTCTAATGGCCTTGGTAACAAATTGTCAAGGAAACTGGAGAATCTACCAGAAGGACAACTCTCCAGTACTCCATCTAAGAGCCATTTCACTCTGCTGAATGAACAAGCATATGGCAACCCACCTGGAGTTTACCAAATAGTGCTTTCTCTGATCTAATGAGACAGAAATTGAGTCCTCGGGTCTGAAATTTCAACCGGGAAAAAACACATACTGCTTATCACCTGGTGTCACTACGCTGCATAGCGCGACTTTGGCTCCATCATATAAAACCCAGCCGAGTACAAACAGGCCCTCGAAGAAAAATGCAGAGAACTGGGATTTGCCTTCCAGCAACACAACACCCCGAAGCACACATCCAGGATAATGGACTGGCTTTGGAACAAATCCCTGAATGTCCTTGAGTATCCCCACCCAAAGCCTGGACTTGAAGCCATTTGAAAATCTGTGGGGAGACCTGAGGATCGCAGTGCAGCAACACTCCTAATCCAATCAGACAGCTGGTAGACGCAGGATTTACAGCCGTAGTCCCTGTCAATGTATTCTGCATACTGTAGTGACATTTCTGTTTGGATTTTTAATACATCTGCACCTAAGGAATAGATCGACTTACTGGCTATGGCGAGAAGATAGATACCACTCTTGTGTGTGTATGCTAAACAACAAGCTAGAGGTAGCAGCCAGTTAGCTTAGCTTAGCTTAGCATAAGACAGGAAAAGGTGGTATGTGTCACTTCTACACCTTTTTCACAGATTAAACAAACAAGATATAATGTGTTTATTAGTAAGCTCTTAGTGTGCCTGGATACATAATTTTGATATATTTGGACAAAGCCAGGATAGTTTCCACAGACTCCCATCCTTATGCTAAGCTAAGCTAACAGGCTGCTAGCTGAAGCCTCATATGCGCTTTACAGTCATGGCATGAGTGGTGTCAATCTTCTCATCCAACTCTCAGCAAGCTAGTGAATAAACTTATTTTCCAAATGTCCTACATTTTTTTTAACATTTGTATGTTTTCACTATTTCATAATGAATAAGGATTATGAGTAGACCAGTGTGAATAAAAAACATTTTAAGAATTCAACTTGTGATGCCATAAAGATTTAAAATCAACTTGACATGGAATGAATTTAACCTTCCATTGTGTCCAGGGGGATTTCTGATGACAGTGGAACATCTTTCTGGTTCAGAACGGTCTCAGTATTAAAAAAAGAATAACCCTTTTAAGCCCCATCAGATAATAGCTTTTTTTTTAATTCAGCTTTATATTTTCCATCAAGGTCAAAGTCATGACTCCCTGACCATTTTTAAAAAATAGGGGAGAAGGGAGATCTATGTGGATGCTTTCAACTCTGCAACAGCTGCACATCTATATCTATATCTTTATTGTCTGTGTTGCAGAGGAGAAGAGAGGTGAAAAGGAGAGTGCGTGTGTTCATCTGAGCCAAAAGCTCTCATTACTCAGGGTCGGCAAATCACCACCACCGCCATCCCAGCTCAGTAAAACAGCTGTCATTTTCATCTCGGGGGTCAGTTTGCATTTTGCACATGACGACCTGCTGTTTGCTTATTCTGCAGCACAAGCAATATTTAACTATAGCTGAATAAACTGTAGTTGAGTTCTATTATTATAAAAGGTGGTGCAGTGATGATGTATCTTTTAGGTGGCCCCGGAAGTAGGGGATTTTTCCCTTGGTTTTTGGAATATAGCATAAAATAAGATATGTGGAAAACACAAGTTGATGATATTGACTTGATTTGTCCAGAAGGATAATCGCCGCATATTAAAATATTTGTATAACAGTTGAAGCGTAAATGCCGGAAGTAAAAAGTGAACGTTTGGCTATAAACAATATATCACAGTCGCATCACTTTGCAACACTGCTAAGCTAACGGCGGCTAACGTTTGACATGATGATATTTAGTAGTCTTATTTAGTCACTTGTTTGCAACCACCTTTTTGTGACATATAGAAGCTTCAGACATTAAGAAAAAGGTCTGTTTACTGACATTTTTCATTTTTAAAAGTGCCTATATTACCCACGGAATGTTTTTACAGGTATATAAACCAAAAACCTGTTGAAAAAAAAAATGCACTTTAAGATGAGGGAAGTCATTCCTGCACCACTCTATTCATGATTGATGTTACGAGGATAAATGTAATTCACCCCAGGAACCGCAAGCTCATTAAAACATACAAGTTGTCCCGCGAGGCCGCCCGGAAAACACTCCCACAACGTGTATTTCTTTCAACGGAGCGGATGAGATATGACGGTTGTGTTTGTCGTTTGTTATAGTCGGTGTGTTGCTGTAGCCTTTCCCCTGGCCGGCTGTGTCCACAGTAATCTTATTGACTCCAGTTAGTGCGGCCCGGCCCCTGATATCTCCAGCTCTGCTCTCCATAACCTTATAAGTAGGTCCCTGCACAGAGTCTCTTTTGTAATCTTGATAACTCGCTGCATGGCCGTGTGTATGTGTGTGTATGTGTGTGGACAGTGCATTAGGTCTCCCCGGGTTGATGTGCCTCCCGCCCCTGCTTCCCCACCTCGCTCCAGTCAGGCTTTGGGTTGCCATAGCAACGGCTCCCCTTCCACATGCCACAGAGTAGTAGATCATGCATCAGCAGAGAAAGTGATAGAGAGAAGCAGAGAGAAAAGAAAAGGGGGAAAGGAAATAGCGAGCTCTGTTTGACATGGCCTCTCATAGCTCAGCGACACACTCCTGAGCGCCACTGTTTACCCTAGACACACACACACACCTAGCGCAAGCAACTCTCCTCTTGTGTGCGTGTTTTAAATCTCCACCTCCTCACGTTAGATTTTTCTCAGCAAAGCCCTTCTCTTTGTCTTTCTAATTCCGTCCCCTCCTGTTGATTTCCTCCCCTTCCTCCATCCATCTCGCTTCCATCCCATGTACAGTGGTGACTCATCTTTCCCACTGAGCCATGCACGCCGGGCCCCGCAGGTGAAAAGCCTGGGACATATGCTAAGGAGATGAGGTGACAAACTAAATGTGGGGGGCGTGGGGGGGTAGCATGGCAGCGCTGCCAAAGACTGTCCTCACTCACTGAGATTGAGCTATACATTTTACAAGCTGAAAGCAAGGAAAAACCACAACATTCGGCTCTGAAAGCGGGGCGCACTGAGGGAAGGGAATTTAAATACAGAAGAGGAGCGGTGTCTGTCCGCTTCTCCGTCTTTTTGTTTCCTGGAGAGAAAATATCCTCTAGGTTGTCTTCCCATGTCTGGTCAGCTGCTCTGCCTTTCTGTCTGCTTCCTATGTCTTCGTCTGCCTGTTTTCCTCAGAACCCCCGCCCCCCTCCCCCCCTCCTCTCTGCTCTCCTGTTCAAATTAGTTCCACATGGCCCTGCAGGCTGCAGTCTCCTCTCAGGCCGGCAGAGGAGCGGAGCAGACAGGCACACAAACACACTCGGTTTAAAGTTCAAAGGTCACTCCCAGCAGAGACACACAAGTGGCCTCTCTCTCAGTGAAACACCCCCCTCATCCCCCCCACCCACCTGTTTATCTGCCGTGTTGAACAGAGTACAGTCTGAGGGCAGGATGCCGACTGACTGGCTGCAGATTAGCTGGAGGGCTAACTGGCTCATCAATTTTGACACTCCAGCTGAGTGTCTAAGAGGCAGGCTGACTGACAAGTGCAATGATTTATGGGAATGGGGGGGGGGCAAAAATAAAAGCGACACTTAATTAAGCAACACTTAAGTAAGCTAACGTAATACACCTTTTTAACAGGGTTACAAACATGGGTCATATAAGGCTGAACTATGGATGTATTGTATATAGGGACTAATTGGAAGGGTGCCTCGTTCATTCAAATGAAGTTGCTCAGTGGCACATGAAGCCAAAATGGACTGAATCCGAGTATGATTTATTTTTTTAATCTGTCAGGGATCTACAACGAATCCCCGCCTCTAATCTGCTCTGTTTAGATTTAGCGAAAAATATATATATACGCTGATACGTCTCTTTTCCTCACTTTATGTTGCATTGACCAGAGTGAAGTATTTAGCAAACAGAGAAACACTAGTTTTGTTGATTATATTTTGTATCATTATTCTAAATCTTAGTAGTGTAAATTAAAGTGGACTAGACGTATAAAGAAACGTAAAAGGAAAAAAAGGAAATGAATATGCTCAGTAGCTGAAAATGTTATTTAAGTACTAGAGTAAATGTACGTAGTTACTGACCACCACTGCCAGCAGGAAACCTGCTACTACATCACAACTGGTTAACTTCTTTTTTTCTATTGATACCATTTTCCAGTATTTATGGAACACTTTCATTTGATTTCTGAGTCTATTCCCCTAACCTATTTAAAAAAATCTAATCTTTGACCTCCTGTTTGAGCTGAGTTGATTTGGGCTCCTTTGAAATCTCAAATGTGCCTGGAAAATCTAAAAGGGAAAATGAAAATGATTTTACCCGTGAAGTTGAGTTTTCTCGTCACGATGTGTTTTCATCTGCCAGTAACAGTAGCACTGTACCTGAATACAGATATAAGGTTCTTGTAGGTATTTCAGTTCATTTAGACTGTACTTTCCCACATGTTATGGTTTAAATGGGGGTTGCACGGCTTGGAAAAATGACTAATTGTGATTATTTTATTGATATTGACTGTATTTACGATATGATTTGCATAATATAGGGAATAATCTATTTGAAACATAATTGACATTATCATTTAAAAAGTGATAGAAAATGAACTTTTTATCAAAGAGGATCGTTTGTAGGCCGAAAGCACCTTAATACGTGATTCAAATATTTTCACATATTTTGCCTTAACTGAAACGTTAACTTTAATTAACTGTATTATGCCAACAGATTCCACATACTTGTATTAGGTCCGTTGAAAGCAATAATATTAAGTTTAAATAAAACAATATAAGGTTCAACTTAATATTTTGCTTTCAACTAACCTAATACAAGCAAGTGGAATATGTTGACGTTTAATTAAAGTCAATGTAATAGTTATTTCAGTGTAGTGTGCAAACTGCATTTTGCACTAATCCATAATGCGATAAAACTTTGATTGATTGTGAAATGAATTGTGCCATAGGTATAATACTGGATTGTTGTTACAGATGCATTAACATCCAAGCAGTATTCTACTGTAGCTGGCTACTGGCACATTTTAAAACTTGTGGGAAGTTTGACTTTTTGTAGAAAAATGTATTGTATCAAATCAAATCAAGTTTTATTTATAAAGCCCATTTAAAAGCGATTTTTGGTCGAGCCAAAGTGCTGTACATGTAATAAAAACACTTTACTACAATCACAATAAAAGACAATAATTACAACAGAAATATAAAAAACACAGGGAATAGTCAGGTGTCGTGCTCCGCTCTGACTAGAAGGCCAGGGAGAAGAAGTGAGTTTTTAGTGTTGATTTAAAAACCCTAATGTCTGGGCCGACCTCACATGGAGGGGCAGAGTGTTCCAGAGCCTGGGGCCCGCTGCTGCGAAGGCTCAGTGCCCTCAGGTTTTGAGCCTGGTCTTGGGCACTATCAGCAAGGCTCTGGCTGGGGTGTAGCGATGGAGGAGTTCGGCTATATAGGCAGGATCCAGCCCATTTAGGGCTTTGAAAACAAATAAAATGATTTTAAAATCAATTCGGAACCGAACTGGAAGCCAGTGTAGTGAGGCCAGAATTGGGGTGATGTGGTCACGCTTTTTGTGGCCAGTCAGAAGACGTGCAGCTGCGTTCTGCACTAGCTGCAGACGTCTATTGAGGCCTGGTCCATACCCACATACAGAGCGTTGCAGTAATCCAGTCTTGAGGTTACGAAGGCGTTAATAACCCTTTCTAGGTCTTTAAAAGATAAAAACGACTTGGTCTTCTTAACCAATAGTCGTATTTTAAAAAAGCAGGATTTGACTACGGTGCTGACCTGCTTGTCAAATTTAAAAGTGCTAGTGAAGGTCACTCCAAGGTTCATGACAGAGGGGAGGATGTTTTTATTGAGAGAGCCCAGAATATCAACCGGAGAGGCTGGAGGTTGGAGTCCAAAAAAGATGACCTCTGTCTTGCTCTCGTTGAGGCATTGTATAGTAATATGATGCTTACAAGATCAATTCATAACAGTGTAGTATGCATAAAGGAGCATACTGAAATACTGAAATACATTAACTACTGCTATCTAGCTGCAAAATCAAAAAGCACCAAAGCCCAACCTTGTCTGCAGTCCGAGTAAAATATTCAGACTTTCCTGTTCTGTTAGTTTCAAAAGGAGTATCATTTACAAATGTGACTCAAGAGAAGCAGGAACTCAAAGCGGTTGTGCTGTGCTGATATGCTGCAATCAAACATTTAGAAAAATGTTTCTATTAACTTGGAAACAGCCCACCTCTGCAGTTGACAGGTTAATAAAGTTTGTAAATGAACGCATAGGGCTTCTCTTTTAAATTACAGCAGGTACTTAAATAAAAGAGAAACACTTGGGAGAGATCCTGTATAATTTAGAGCTCCTGAATGATGAACTCTGGGCGGATGTTAAGGATTAAGGACGCAGCTGCCAGGCCACAGGGAGAGGCACATCTCACCCAGCCCGGCTCTGAGAGCTCTGGGAACGGGAGATGGAAGTAATAACGGAGGCACTAACAGCCCCGAACTCTTCCTGACAGCCCCCCCCCTCCCTCATCTTTTTCCTTGTCTTTGCCTCTGGCTGTGTGACACAACTTTCTTTCTTTCTTCCCCCTCGCTGCCTATGAATGTCACGCCCGGCCATTCCGCACCCTTTCAAAAACACGTTTAAAAAAGTTTCCCCCCGTGCTCTCCCTCCACCTATCTTTCTCTCTGTCCCGCTCAGACGCATCACTCTCACATCGTCTAGAGGGAGTCCAGGTTTCCAGACACTGCTCACTATCCTCGGCTCCTTGACCATTACTACTCCATTATCAGCGGCGATGGAGGGCGCGCCGCAGACGCCTAATGTATCCATTTCCCCCTCCATTTAGAACTCGGCAGCCCAGTGAGCTCCTGGAGTGCTCCCTGATTGGGATTGAATGTCCATTTAAACTGCCGTCCAGCCACCAGGGAGGAGGCAGGGGGGGGGGGGGGGGTGGGGGAGGAGAGGAATAATGGGAAATACAGGGAGAAGGATGCGTACAGGAGTAAAAGTGTTGAATGAGGAAAGGAGGCAAGGGGATTGCCTGATTTGAATCAGAGTTTTCTCCCCCTTTCTTTTGTGTCCCTCACTTGCTGTGTCTCCATCACTCCTTTTTAACTTTCAAACACGCCTCAGTCGGAAAAAAAGCTCTCCTCCTCTGGCGCCGAGCCAAGTGTCAGAACTCAGCACTCGGTATTCTCAAGGTGCGCTTCTAAAAAGAGGGATTTGGAATTGAGATGATTAGAGTTGGCATATCCGTAGAGAGTGGAAGGGAAGGGAGGGAGGAAGAGGGTGAGACAGACAGAGAGAGAAAGAAATAAAACAGAAGAGGCAGGAGATCACACACACACACACACATGTACAGTACAAGACTTGAGGTGAAACCGTACCTTGTAGGAGAACTCCTCCGTTCTTTCTGAAGAGGGGACTTCCCGACCACAATGGAGGACTAGAAAATAAGAAGAAGGGATAAGGAGGGCAGGGAGGGGAGAGAAAAAGATAAAACTGGTCAACCATTTGATCATGTTGCAGCAGTCAAAGCAGCCCGGCGGGCTTCGTCACGAGGCAGATAGCAAGGCAGGAATTTGAGCCCATAAGCCAGAGCTTCTGATTATAGTGATTAGATTCCCGGGTGTCCCCACTGTTGCCATTATTCCCTGTGATTACCTCGGAGAATTACAGCCTCGCCGCTGTAGTCCATGGGGGTAATTTCTCATGACAAACCCCCACCGCCCGCCACTAGTCCATTCACACACATGAACACAGAAGGAAAAAAAAAACTCTTGTAAAACACACACACATTTAACACTCGTGTCGCGAGTTTAAGACAGACACACGCGCCGAGGAACACGCACTCACTTTAGGTGATCATTGCACCACTAATGAGGGAGGTAATGATGGCATTTCTCACGGAGGCATCTTCACTCATACGAGCGCACACACACGCGAGAAGACAATGGATACAGTTCTGCTGGTGGATCCATTATTTTTAAAAGGCGGAAGATGGAGGGATAGAGGAAAGGAGGAAGAGAGAAATGGGGGGGTGTAAGAGCTTTTCCAGGTTGAGTGGTCTTTAGCTCCACATTAGACAACACATCTGACTGCTCCTCTCTTTTTTTCACAGGCTGTTCTCAAATCATCGTGTGTCTGACAACTCTTGGTCATATGTACACACACAAACACGTGCAAAGCAAACAGGAGGGAACACCTGGGGACGCTGAGAACTCTGAGAAAAAAAGAAAAAGCAGCCACTCGTTCCCACTCATCAGGAGAGTTCCCTTTGTAATGCGAGTCCTGTTTTATGTTGGGCTAAGCTGCTGTATGAGAGGATTTGGACGTCTGCACTTGTGATGTGGCTCTCACCTCACCAGATGCAAGGGGAGAGATGGACACTCCGTCACACACTCTCACACACACACACACTCACACACACACACACACACACTCAGACTCACGCACTAACTCTACACGCACACACAGACATGGCAATACGCAAAAAGCAGCGAACGCAAATTCCAGCCCTGAGCCACCTGCTGTTGCCATGGAGAGTTGCCACATTGGGTTGCCACGGCGATAACATATTTTTCCTGCGCTAACAGCCTGTCTGTTTTCCCTACCACCCCACCCTCTCCCTTTTCTCACTCTTCCTATTTGCGCCGTCTCCCCCCCCCTTTTTCCTCTCACCCGACAAATGGCTCCACGGCGCGACAGCACCTGCCTTACACTACATGTGTTGCCATGGCGGCGTTCCCGTTGCCAAGGCAACCCTGTGCATTTAATGTAGTGGGCGAGGGGCTAAACTCGTGGCTCGTTCTGCAAACCCCCCCTCATCCACCCATAACGTCTTTTTTATTTTATTTCTCCAATGAGGGGGGTGAGAGAAAGAAATAAAGAAACACAGGGGGGGAGAGAAAGCTCCTCCCCAACCCCCTTGAGACACCCTTCCCTCCTCCCCCCCCCACCCTCCTTCTCATCCAGATGCTGATGGGGTGTGAAGGAATGCACCATGGAGCTGACCTCCTACCCAGCATGCTCTCTTTCTCCCTTCCACACAAACAGCCTTGCATGTGTCATCCACTACACCCATTTGCAAATGCATGCACAGGAGACACCACACACACACACACACACACACACACACACACACACACACACACACACACACACACACACACACACACACACACACACACACACACACACACACACACACACACACACCACACACACACACACACACACACACACACACACACACACACACACACACACACACACACACACACACACACACACACACACACACACACACACACACACACACACACACACACACACACACACACACACACACACACACACACACACACACACACACACACACACACACACACACACACACACACACACACACACACACACACACACACACACACACACACACACACACACACACACACACACACACACACACACACAATGAAAAAGCAAGAGATGTGAGGGACGAAGAGTAGAGGACAAAGAAGTCTCCCTCTCTCTCCCTCTCTCTCTCCATCTTCCACTGCTGAGTGCATAGAACTGCTTGAGACGGTCCTTGACATGGTGCAACCACACCGTCATTACACTTCATAACATAATATTCTTCAGAGTGAGAGCTCTTCAGAGATATTGTGATAGATTGATTGTACCTTCTGCGGTCAAAGATACGTAAAAAAGGGAAACGGTTCATCTTCCACAAACAGTAAAGAAAGAAAATGCTTTGTATTGAAGGTATTTGATGAGGCGTGTTTCTTTGTTTCACATTACTCATACTTCTTGTAAAGTAAAGTACATATAACAATAAATAAAGAGTTAAAAAAAGAAATCTTTCATAGGCAGTACATTTGATTTAGTGATTTGTTACATTTATACCCTACTTTACTTAAAATTCAAACTGTAAGGCTCAATAATATTATACAAATAATTCGTTTTTACCTCAAAGTTTTCTGTGATGACCTTTTAAAAGTAAATTGTTACGTTAAAGATTTGAACATTGTGGTTGTTAAATGATTTACCATGAGTATGAATGTTAACTGAATTGTCTATTTTAATGTATGGCACACTGAACAGTATATGGGATAAAGTTAAAAGAGAAGTTTTAAAAAAAAGACCCCATAGATTTTGTTTTCAAAGCGTTCAGTTGTATCCCATGGCCTTCATCCGTTAATCTTTTTGTGTCATACAAAAAGTTTTCCATGAAACGTCTGCATGTTGTCAAAACTATCTTCATTATATCTATCGATGATGTTATTTTTTGGTCAAATCCCTACTTTGCATGCACATTTTCCACAGCTGTGATCTCCGGGCCCCAGGCAATACGCACTTCTTTGTTGTCTCAAGTGAACAAAAGTGCATAAGCAGTTGTCGACATTGCCTCTATTGTTGCGAGTTATTAAATATAACTTTAAAGAGTAATATTCATTATCCCTAGCCCATAAAACCTTGATTTCCCCTTTAATGTATTACTTTAAGTGGCTTTAAAGTAAGAATATACTGTAAATTATTTATATTAAGTGCGGTATTTGAACGCCGTACAAACCAAAGATAGCATTATATAAGCTGCTGTACCTTTTATTTAGTTATTGTTTTACAACCTCTGCATATACTTTATATATAGACATGTGCAAATACATTTTTATACATATTAAATCAGCCTTGTTTGAGGCAGCCTTAAGATTTTGATTTCCAACGACCACTTCTTCATGCTTGTCGTGCTTATGATAAATAAATCACTTTTTCATTGTTGTGCCAGTACATCAAATGGAATGATTACAGATGTCTGGGGCCTACTCTTACACACGTTTTCCTAATACAGCCGACGTGTTTAATATGTTTGGGACCCGGCGCTGTGGATCCAGCAGCTTTACTGACGATGGAGAGGTTAAAGGAGCATACAAGTGGTGTTCATGTTTTAGCCCATTAGCAACAAATTGTGCATACTGTACATGCTGTGCGCCTGCTTTAAGTCGCTGTTGGCCAATTTCAACAGCACACCATCAATTCCTAGATTGATTTCCATTTGACTTTCCAGGCAGCCGCTGGTTTCCATTCATTTAAGGATGATATGAGGCCTGCAGAGACTTGAAAGCTGCTTGTTATTCAATAATAGGTGAGACATTTAGAAGCCTTCAAAGTAAATATTTTGTTACATTTGATCCAGTCAAATGATTACCCCAATTGTAGTGAGATTTTTGTGGGAGAAAAAAAATGGTGGGTATATGACCTGTGACTAGCAAAACAGATTTATATGGTGGCCCTTTTTATGGTATTTTAAAGAGATAGAGTGGTGCAGGAATTAGTCCTCATCCCAGGAATGAGTTAGCATTGTAGCACTTCCAGGTTCCCTTGTCTTGAAGCCAATGTATTTTTTAAATAGTTGTTCATTGGATTATCAAAATAAGGTCAGTGGTTAACACAAGATCTTCATGTTTCGCCCCCCCAAAACAACCCTCTGTAAATATTCACTGATAAATGCCAGGAACTTCTCCCTGACTTCAAACAAACATTGCTAACAGCATGAGATGTTACCTTAGGCTAGTGAAACTGATGTAAATGTCCCCTTGTTTTATGGCATTTTACAGACCAAACAATTGAGTGGTCCAGGAACAAGTCTTAAACCCGGGAAATAAGTTTCCCATTTTATCACTTGATGGCCCCCTTGTCTCCAAATCAATGTTTTTTTTAAGAAATGTTAGTTGGATTCTCAAAATAAGGTCTCAGGTTAATTCATGTTTATGAGATTTTTTACATTTTGTTGTACTTCATAAAATATGTCTGTAAATACTCACTGTTAAACGTCGGAAGCGTGTACGTGACTTAAAATCGGCGGTTGCTAACAAGTAGCTGTTGACGTAGTTCGTTTAAAGCATTACGTTAGCTCTATAATTCTAGCAATCGCATTTACGCTTCAACTCAATCCCATAGTTTCTTGTCGAAGGGAACCCTTGCAAGGCCTACTTCGCGTCGGCCTACCAAATCCGTCTTCATTGCACCACTCGATGAATCGGGAATATATTTGTCAGATTAATTGATCGCTCAGGTGCTACATCACAAGGAGCCTCTATCCAAGAAATGGACTCTCCTCACTTGCTCTCTAATTCCCCACTGTGTCACAATGCAAATGAACAAGCTCCCCTCTCTCCCCCTCCCATCCTCTCCATACTCCCAACCTCTCCTCACTCCACACCCCCCCTTCCTCCTCATGTTCCGAATCCGGCCTCCAATTTGTTCCACTTCCCCATACCTCATTGTTCAAAATGACACTTTTACATTTTATGGTGAACCAATTATTCTGTCTTACACAGTCCGCTGGCTCTGCAATCCAACCTGCCCGGATCAACTGGGGAGCGGGGTGGTGGTGGTGGTGGTGGGGGGGGAGGAGGTGGTCGGGTATGCGGAGAGAGAGAAAAGAGAGAAAGCGGAAGAAAGGGAAAAAAGACAACTAATAGTACCTCTTGCTGACATGTCCACGGGGATGGGCAGGGGAGCTGGAAACGGAGAAGTTAGCGAAGGGAGAGGGTGGAGGCTGGAGGAGAGGTCAGGAGAGGGAAACAACACAGGTGGATGCTGATGCTGCGGAGAGGTGTGCGGGGCGTGAGAGTGAAGTGGATGTAGACAAAGGAGGATTTAATTGAATGATAAAGTGGTGCAGATAGAGTGAAAAGAGCGGAGGGAGAGAAGGGATAAATCACAGCAGGGATAAATAAAGAAGACGGAGCGCCGGGTTCCCCACCAGCTGTAATGTATGCCTGAGGATGAGCGGGAGGGTGTGTGTGTGTGTGGGACATTAAAAGAAAGGGAGACAAGAGAGTGAGAGCAGCGGAACGGAGGAGTGCGAGGAGCCGGAGGAAAGGAGGGATGGACAGGATATGCCGGGGAGAGGGCGAGGGAGGGAACTAGTGAACATGCGGAGAGAGGAAAAAAGGCAAGCAGCGGTTTTTACCTGTGAAGAGCCTGAGGGGGAAGGAGATACTGTAGGAGGAGGGATGGAAGTGTAGCTGCATGAAAACAGCGTGCAAAAAGATTTAAGGAAAGGATGGGGCGGGTCAGATGTATAATGCCTGGGGCAGGTGGGTGGAGAGAGAAGGAGAGAGGTGGAGGAGTGCATGTGTTTTATGTTCTCTATGCAGTACAGCTGCAAACACCGATTATTTTTATATTCTTGATTTATGCATAGAATGTTTATTTATCCGTCGTTCAGTCTTTTAAAGCAAATACATCAGGGAAAATATATGATTAAACAGTGATGAATAGCTGCTTGTTTTGTCAGAAAAAACTATTGAAATCTCAAAAATATTTAATTTAATATGATATATGTGACTGGATTTTGGCACTGCTCTCTCCATTTGATTAAATTAGGATTCAGAAAGGCCTGACGTGAAGTGATTTGATTCTGCAGATCCAATTATATTAAATAAATAGCTATAATGTATTGACACACAGTAAAAGAAAACAGTTCTCTGAGCATTTCAATTAAAAAAACACAAATGAAGAATTAAACCAAATAAGCACAACTATACTATTTATAACAAATAACCACAGTTAAAAAAAAACTTTAAAAGGTCCCATGTCATGGTCATTTCTACTGATCATAATTCCATTGTTGAGGTCTACTAAAATAGATATATATATATTGTGCAATGTTCCAAACTCGCATTGGTTTCTCTCACAGCATCTCTGTATAGTATGTGTATTCACTCTCTGTCCTAAACGGCTTGTTGGAGCTCCTCCCCCCCCCCCTCCCTGTGAGCCCAGTGGCCGTCTGCGAGACAGCGAGACACAGCGAAACCCAGCCCGAAACACACACACACACCCGCAGACTGGCTGGGAGTTTGTGTGGGAGCTCAGGCTGAGTTCCGCAGTGTCTCGCCGACCCCACACCAGTGAGCCAGCTCACACTGTCCCGCTCCTCGCAGCAGCGAGCCTCGCAACGTCCCGCCGAGTGTGTATGTGTGAGGAAGTCCACGGATTGGTCCAAACGTAACGGCTCCGCGGACGTTACGTTACTATACCCAAATACGTCACTATACCCAAGAAGAAACAAATGGCGTTCTGGGGCAGCATAGACAGGTCTTTTCTGTGTTAGAGTTTTACTCGCTACAGGGTGTACTTTGAGGGTTTGTGACTCTGCAGACCGTTTACATGCAGAAAAACCTTCATAACACACAAGGGACGGGTAATAACCGGAAAAGCATGACATGGGACCTTTAACACTTAAAATAATTGATATCTGATTATTACATTTGTTTAAGTCTTTTGATCGAGATTGATTGAGTAAATGATTATAACTTCATTTACTTTTTTCTTAGAGGCTTGACTCGATAATCCAAATCTGATTCACTACAAAGTCATAAATCACTTTTTTCAACCTGCGACCTGTTCACAAGTGGGTCTGTTTGTGGGATTGATCACGGGCATAACAACACCCCCCTGATAGACCATATAAAGCTCCCCGTTTGTTAAATGGTTTCATCAAAACAAAAATGTCGCCCATGAGTAAAAAAAAACTCCTGCTGTCGCGAGTCAGTAAAAGAAAGCATTACACATTTAGCAGTGTCTGTAGTTGCTATAAGGGGACCTAAAACAATTAAAAACACATCATAAAATGTTATACTAGCACAGCTGCAGTGGCGTACTGTGACAGAAATAAAGAGGGGATGGTAGAGATGGAGTTAGAGGAGGCCATGAATAAGATGGATTGGGGCCAGGGAATGTGAAAAATACTAGACGAGGGAATAGAATGAAAACAGCGAACCATTGGGCGCCATAGAGCATGATGCTGGACAGAAACATGCATAAATACCCAGATATAGCTGTCTGAACTTTTCTACTAACTACATTATTGAACTCTTTGCTTCTGTGCCAACATATGCCAAAAAGAAAGATAAAATCTAAGAAAAACGTTCAAACTTTACAGGAAATTGGCGAGCCACCAGGGTGATGACATTTATTCGGTTTCTTTTCAAAGGTTCCGTTTGGGTTCCATTTGATCCTCTGTATGTCAGCAGGGTTATGGAAAAAGCACTGGCTCGATATTTATGCAAGTTAGATGAAGGTAGTTGCATGGGCCATGGAAGAAACCATAACATGTGGGAGCAAATTACTTAATCCCAGGCAGATACACTTATTTTTCACTTCTTTAAACTTTGAATAGGGCAGGGCCTTTTCGGAGTCATTCACTTAATCGTACTTTACTAGAGTGCCCTTCTATTTACGTTAATTGTAGCTTTATCAATTATTATAGTTGATTTCAATTGTATATTTTACCTACTAATTATTTATATTATGATTCTAAAGTCAAACAAATATATTTTTTCCAGTGGTGGATTAAGTCAACATGCCTGTGCATGGCATAAAAGAAAAATAAATGAGTGCCTTATGAGTGAGAGGTGACTCATACACTTAGAATGAGTTAGCATCTTAGCACCTCTGGATTTCATCATCTCAAAGTCAATGGTTTTCTGAATGAGATTATTAATGAAAAGTTATCGTACACGTGCTTTTGCCACTTCTGCAATATTCCAATGAAAAACTCCCATTGCATTTAGTTCCAAAACTCTATAAATACCGCAAATTAACCCAATCAAAACTCACGAGGAGAGAGATATTTCATAATAATTCATTAGCCAATCAGCTTATCCGTCTTACCTGTGGTGAAATGTCTGAGGCAGGGTGGGTGGGGAGGTGGAGGGGGTGGCCAGGCCGGGTGAGTAAGGATGATACGGCGTCTTCTTCAGCGCCTGGATCAGGTTGTGTCTGTACTCGGGATCTATGGACCACAGAGAGCCTTTGCCTATGCTCTGAAAGGAAGAGACAGATGAGAGAGACGTTATTGGAAGTGCCGGTGGGCCCCTCAAAGCACAAACACAAACACAGCGCGGCACGCGGATGTCAGCCAACAAGTCCAAAGCCCAAACACAAGCTCAAAGTCCGGAGCCTTATTTACCAAACCACCTGTACACACACACAGCAGTTATTCCCATATTCCCAACGGAACATAACACTCGGAGGAATGAAAATGAACACATCCTCAATACCACCGCGCTCTATATTTTCCAATCCTCTGCCTTTCCTCAGAAAATAAAGGGAAACTCTTTAACTTTTTTTCACTCCAGAGGCGATGATGATTCGTATTTTTAGATCAAAGCAGCTTTCCCCCTCACCTAATGAAGCTGTCGGCTCGCAATCTGAGTGAAACCAGCCTATAGATTATAGCGGAGGGAGGTATCTGGATGAAAATACATCCCCTGTCTCCATCTCTCACTGCCTTCTCTGCACTTTCATCTGCCTTGTCATCTGAACGTGGCGAAATATGGAGTTTGTGTACGGCAGACGCTGATAATTGCAGGGGGGGGGGGTTAAATATAAAATGAAATGTTGGCTCATGTTCAGCTCACTTTGTAGTGCTCTGTGATATGATACGGGTACAGGCTCCAAGGTGGGGAGGTGTCATGATGGCAGGCTTCTGATTTCCACAAATACGGCAAGAAATATTTTAAGAGGGAAACGTCAGATGTGCCAGATACACACCTTTAATGCTATCCACATCAGAGGATCAGTCACCAAAATTATAAAAAAACACTCACTTATCTCTAGTAGTGTCTTGCCATGCAGCTCATTTCAGTTTACTAAGCTCTGGTTAAGAGTTGTAAGAGATGTTTTTGCCACATTTTAAAAGCTCATAATTAATATTGTTAAGCCCTATTCACACAGGATTAGGGATAGAAATGATGTAATTGTTACCAATACAACTCTACAGTTTTCCTTTCAAATGTTAGTCAACAGGAACATTTTAAATTAGCGGCTGATAACAGCTAACAGCTTATGGCTAACACCTAACAGCTTACGGCTAACAGCTAACGACTAACAGCTACTAGCTAACAGCTAACGACTAACAGCTACTAGCTAACAGACAACGGCTAACAGCTAACGTTAACAAGCTCACCTACTGCCGTTTTCAACACTGATATAATGTTCAGAGAGCATAATCAGGGGAAAAATAGTGTGAGTTCCATGGATCGACTACGTACCAAAAGTATCGCTTCTTGTGACACCCCTACTGCCTCTACTAATAATTGCGTAGGTCGTGTTATGTTATCCTGTGTGAATGTGGATGAGTAATTCCTAAAACACATGAGGTTGCTTGTTAACAAGTGTGAAAGGGTTTTAGTCTGGATAATTCACTGACCTCATCGTAAGCTTTTTTCTTTGGAACCACTTTCTACCAAAGCATAGCTCCTACATTAGACAATTGGGGGACACAATTTCTGCGAAGACATGTTACTGTTTCTTTGGTAAATTCTTTAGTAAATCATGAAAACATTTGCCAAATTAGAACAATATTTAAAGAAAATAAACATTAGCAGATGTTGTCTTTAAGGCTTTCCCTCAATATCATGTTAATCATCTTGTGACAATTCAAGTTTATTTAGCTGCCTCTTAGTAGGCGAGTACAGGAAACAATGTTATAAAGAAGAGAAATAAAGAAGTCCTGGATGATACATTTATTAACTTATTCCTGTTCACAGCAAGGTGTATCAACATTATTTAGGAGCAACTTTCAAGTGATCACATGTTTGAGGAGGGAGAACCAATCAGAGACCTCCCAAGGATTTATTTCACCTATTTTAAAACAAACCTTACATTTTCTCAGATCTTATCTTTTTCTATTAATGTTGTTATTATTTACATTTTTCAAGTTCATAATGTGTGAAATCTTTAATATGCCCAGCAGCGAGTTAAACACACCATAAACAACAATCTATACATCTCGGATGTCTAAACAGGGATGAAAGGAATGTTTGCACCCTGAAGGAACATAAGAAAAAGCCTCTGTAACATTATATCAAATGTGTTTTAACGATAACAACTTAAGAAAGAAGCAGCTTCAAATAGAGGCTAATGTTTCAGAAGGTGTTTGCATTAATTTGTTTCTATACTGCAGACCTAAAGACCCCAGAAAAACAAATGTAAGAGATGTAAGCTTAAATACATTTTTTAGTCAGAAGAGATTAAACACATTTGCTTTTATTCTTATAAGCAGGGCTAACAGTGAAACGCTTTGTTTAGAAATGTCCAATTGTAAGCCCTCAATTTGATACGATTACAGGCCACGACCTCCAGGTAAACTGCACTAATGTGTTACAATGACTTCTATTAAAGTATTGTATTCAACTTTTGACAGGAAGTGCTCAGAACCTGTTCTTCTAAATCGAAAGAACCTGAAATATTGTTTATTAAACAAAGTACAAAACTGACAGTTTAACTGCAAAGGACAAACAAACTGTCAAAAATAAAATGTAAGATACACATTTTGAACTTTAGTATTTACAAACACAAGTGTTTTGATAATCCTCAAAACACTTGATTTTTATCTTTAAATGTCAAGTTACATTTTTGACATTTAGAATTTAATTTAAAAATATATATCTTTCTGCTATCTCGAACTTTTTTGAATTCTCAAATTTTCAGACTTTATTTTCTAAATATAAAAAGCAAAGGAAAAGTTCCTTTCTTTGACTCTTTTCTTCTTACGTCTGGCAGAAATGAAAGTTTGACTTTACTCAGCACATTCTGACTTTATTCTTGATATAAAATAAATTCTCCTCTGAATAATTTTTGGACATTTAGACTTTAATTTCAAAATAAGAAATGTTTTCTTCACTAAAGAAATATTATTTTTCTTATGCCTTTCACTAACTAAAAGTTTGACTTTTTTCTAAAAGAAATTATTGTATTATCAACATCAACATATTCCATTTCTACTCCTCCTCCTCTGATGCACTATTTAATGCTTGGCACTACACAAAGTGTTTTCACTTCATGCTCAAAATGCAAAAGAATCTTCATCTTTATTTCTCTCCCTTAGATGTCTGCCTTTTTTTGTTTAATACATTCCTCTCCATACTATAGGACAATACACACTGTCCTTTCTCTAATGGCATGCAGAGCCTCTGTGGTCAGTGTCTCTCGGCGTGTCCCCTGATCCCAGGATGTCCAGTGAATCAGCCAGACCTGTGCTCCCTCTCACTACACCATGTGACCTTGTAAGAACGCGAGGAGCTAATGGCATGTGTGCGCACTGTTGATTTGTTTCCCCCCCGCTGAGATCTTTGCATTAGTATGTGAGCGGTGTTGAACACGGGCCATATGTGCCGTGTTTTGCCTGGTGTGTATGTGTGTGTGAAGAGGGGTGAGTGTGTGTGTATGGCAAGTTCCCTAGGGAGTGTGAAATTACCCAGCGTGGTGTGCTCCTGGGAGTGCTTCCATTACTGCCAGCAACGCCTCTCCTGGAGAGCATGATATTACACACACATACACTCGCTCCCACAGAGGTGACCCCCACTGGGCCAAATTTCCCCTCACACCTCCAGCAGTTTGTGTATATATATTTATATATGTGTGTGTGTGAGTGTGTGTGTGTGTGTGTGTGTGGCATCTTGCCAGCCAGATTAAATCAATGCTTTCTGCAAAATCTCTGTCTGCCGGGGCCCATTCCTCTGCCAACCAGACAGCCAATCATAAAGCGAGATGTGTAGACCCCCTCATGTCGATAGGCCAATCATAGGGTACGGCTCACAAGAAGGGTCTGTCACCTGGGTTATAGTGGTCGCCTTGGCAACAGGCATCATCTGGGCTTGGAAACGAGAGGAGGCGACATTTCATTTTCTCGCCAATTCGCAAAGTTGGGAAAAGGCAGCATGTCTCGAAATCGATTATCACGAAAAGTATTTCAGGTCAGAGATTAGTTTCAAGTTTTCGGAGGGGTTCAACTTTGATACACAGTTTTTTTATTCTTGTATCTTGCAGCAGGTGATAGAGGACCCTGGTTTTCACTTTGACCTGAAACTGTGTTTATTTCCTCCCTCCATCCTCTGATCCCAGCTGCTTTCACTCCTCAGCTACGGGCACTATTTTCTGGATGATAGGTTTTTTTGTGCATGCTGGAAAATAGTCACATCTCTCTACCATTTGCAGATAAAGAGCAGGATTACACAACAAATAATCCACAACTCGAAACCCCTACTTCAAGAATGATCTCACACAGTGTGAAACCGGCACAGCATTAATCTTCAAATCATAATTTTAAGCGATATTAAACTTAAACTCAACGTAATTATATGTATAAGTAGTAGTTGCGATCAAGAAAGCAGCACATTTTGAAACGCGTTGGTGTTATAAAACTGCACAATCCTGAGCAAATGCACAGATATTTTCATGATGGAGAAAACACATAGGCTACTGCCCTGGACACGTCATAGTGTGAGTAAAAGACAAAAGGGGAAGAAAGAGGAGACAAAGGCGGAGGGGGAGAGGTGGAGAGAGAGAGTGAGTGAGTGTGTGTTGCCAACATCTGTTTCCTGTGTTATATAAGCTGTGGGGGCTGGTCCCCAATGGAAATGGGAGATATTAAAAAGTCCTGCTGCCACTGACCCCGCTAGTAACACTACACTACTGCTACTGCATTCCTATCTGCACCATTATCTTCTCACATATACATTCACCCCACATCAAAATATATATCATTGCTTGAAATGTATAAGGTCGGTTCATTTCAGAAAACACAATTCACAGAAATATATAAAAAAGCTGTACTTAAACTAATAAAATGTTCATATTATCACTAACTATATTTTGTGAATTTAGCAAGTACTTTATTGTATAGTTTAATGAGCTGAAGGACTGGTTTGCCATTTTTGAAAATACACTTTCTTGCCGAGTTATATGAGAAGATTGATACTACTGTACGCTACATACAGTATGAAGCTAATGCTAGTTAGCTTAACTTAGCATAAAGATT